GAACACTTTCAGTGGACACCAGAAAGAGGTTGGAGCCTGGAGGCCTTTGAAATGTGGTGTTGTTATCGGTGGATGTTAAGAATAAACTACACTGACAAGGAAACAGATGAAAACGTACTAAAATTAACAAAAACTTCAAGAGAAATACTCGAAATGTACAGAAAAAAGTGAAATACTATGGTCATATAATTAGGGATGACGGGATAGTAACAGAAATATTAATGGGCAAAGTTGAGGATAGGAGGGCCAGGGGAGACAGAGACTGGGATGGATGAATTAAATAAAAAACTGGATCCCCAGAGAGATACAAAACCTTAGAGGATTGGTAAGAACTGCCTGAGAACGTTTAGAGTGGAGGACTGTGGTCACCGACCCACAACGGAGCCTTGGGGGCCAATAAATTGAAAATAGAAAAGATTTCCTTCTTTGTGATGTGTTCAAGGAAATTTTTTCAAAAATATAAGGAAAGTCAGGTCAAAAATGAGTTCTTCTAATTAAGTTAACTTTTCCTGAACCCTCTCATCCCCACGCCACGAGGTGAGTACAGGTACTAGTCAAGTGTCACTTCGCCACGTTACTCAACACAGGCTACCGGTGGTACTACTTTGCTGTCCTTCAGAATCGGGTATGGCGTTCATCCAGTGATGACAGAATGGTGGTGAGCTCTAGGCGGCTCGAATGGCTGGTACGGGATCCTCAGGGTTGTTCCCAGATATTGCACATCTAGTGTGGGAGAGGAGGCGCCAGCGTCTTTCCGACGCTGGCGCTTGTCCACCTCGGCAGGTATAGTTGGGGTAATTCGAAAATATTAACACCTCACGCAGTGTTTCTCTAAACGTCACGGTTTGGAGTGATCGTCTCCCAGGTGCAGGAGTCGTTTTGGCATTTTTCAGGTTTTCTTCAGACTTCACATTTTCCGTTGCCCGCCAGCATTACGTTTTATATTATTTAAATGAATGTAGATCATTAATTGCTTTAGCAGCCTATTGTCATCCATGCGGGTAACATGGCCAGTCCAACAAGGTTGTTCATGGAAAATATAAGTCGATACTGTCGATACACCTTCAGTTGGTGAGAGTCCAACATCAATACCGTTCTTCAAGTGTATATAAGGAACTCAAATATGAAGTGTGGTTGTATTGTTCCCAGTAAAACTTGACTTATTGTCTGGACAACATTTGGCTACTGACAGACGGACCGATGACACTATGATTATGTCCTCCAGAACATTTTTGGGTGGGAAAAAAAATTATATATATATATATATACATATGTATATATTTGTATTTCTATTATGTTATTTTAGGAGAAGATGGGGATGGCGAGGAACATTAAGGTGATGGTGAGGATTTTTGTGTTGTTGATGTTGGCTGTGGCAGTCAGGGTGAGGTGGCCATCTGACAGGTGGCCTCCACTCCACCTCCCTCCCAACACCACCTGGTCACCTTCTCTGCAGGCTTTGTCAGCCGACGTCGCCAGGCACAGTAAGTTACTTGTCGCCGTCGACCTTATTTACAAAATATGATGATTGATTGGTTGGTTGATTTGCCATAGTACACAATGCGCCAGCTGGGCTAAAACATGTTTATTGTTTATGTTGAAACATTACGCCTTATTACTACCTCCTGCCGATATCCCTGACTATAAGCCTGTAAATTTTGCAGCATTTCTGTACATCACACACCTGACAAGGTTGCATCAACACACACCTGTGACAGGGCTGCATCAACACAAACCTGTGGCAGGGCAACATCAACACACACCTGTGATAGAGCTGCATCAACACAAACCTATGGCAGGGCTGCATCAACACACACCTGTGATAGGGCTGCATCAACACAAACCTGTGGCAGGGCTGCATCAACACACACCTGTGATAGAGCTGCATCAACACAAACCTGTGGCAGGGCTGCATCAACACACACCTGTGATAGGGCTGCATCAACACAAACCTGTGGCAGGGCTGCATCAACACACACCTGTGATAGGGCTGCATCAACACAAACCTGTGGTAGGGCTGCATCAACACACACCTGTGATAGGGCTGCATCAACACAAACCTGTGGCAGGGCTGCATCAACACACACCTGTGATACGTCGCTCTTAGCCAGTGGAGTGTTGCAGAAGCGAATGATGATGGCGAGGCGGCCGAAGTGACAGCACCGCGGCAAGTGTGGTGGCAGAAAGCCTTGTGTGACACCGTCAACGCCACCCTCGACCACCACCGTCCTCACCATCTCCACCTCCCCACACTCTACAGGTAAACCCACCTCTAAAACAATCTGATAAAGGCTGTTGTGACATCAATACTCATGCAATGAAGCTGCTGCACAGCATTAGTCTTCCTTTATAAGTCGAGTACCCATGATGCACTGGTCACGGTCATATCCATTTCTCACTATTTGTTACCAAGCAACACTATATCAGGGTCAGGTATGGGGTAATCACAATCCGTAATCGTAATCGATTACAGTTTTTTAAGTAATCATAACCGCAATTGATTACATTCTTATTTTTAATAAAGTAATCGATTACATTCAAAATGTAATCGTAAATCACGATTACTTTCACGATTACAATAGTGAGTACATACCGGTACTTCATTTCCTTTTTCTTAAATACTCAGCTCATGATTTTCAATACAGTCAACTACATTCGGTCCTTTATATGACTCAGCAAACATTCACCGTCCACATTATGTCTAATACTCTAGCAGCTAGAGCATTAGACATAATGTTGTTACTTGCAGCTAGAGTCTAGCTGCAAGTAACAAAATATCAAGTCAGTAAGATTTAAACATTCGTGCTGGTAATCACTGATTTACGTCTTAGTAAACACAAAACAGACTTAGGCCAATAATTTTATCAATTAAGTGACGCTTCAGCAACGTTATAGTGTATTGTTTATTCTTAAGAAATTAAACCAGACAGAAGTGCAAGTTTAAACTACACACGAACTGGATGTGTCAACCGTGATCCACCCAAACGAAGGTGCCATACACCATCATCATGATTTTATTTGTTATTGTTTTGTAATCTGATTATTAATAATTATGAATTATAATTTCTGAGTATAATGTATAATGCATTATTTCTACCTTTTTCATCTCTCAGAAAATATGATTTAATTGTACTGTACCGTGAATTGAATTGAATTGAATTGAAACAGTTTATTTAGCCAGAAAAACAGATACAGAGTGGATAATAATAACAATATTAACATGGCTGAGCCAGTTGAGAACCTGAGTTCTCTTTGAGGCACCTGATATATACTATACATTTATCTCAAAAGTATTATGTAACATTTAGTATCATAGGAATAGTACAATAGCATGGTAGTAATAAGAATCTCATAGTGTTACCACGGTTATCACTTCAATATTTATTTATTTTATTTTATTTATTATTTTTTTGTTTATTTTTTGTTTAAACATATATACATTACAGTGAAATTGAAAAACATAAGTATAATGGGGGAGCAGTAGAGCATGGGTTGTACAGTATTAAGGTTGAACAAGAGGACAGAGCTGTCAGGATTATGTCTAGTTGACAATTATGTTTATTGCAATGGTAATTACTTATATATTTACATGATAATTTCCATTAAAACGTTTTGATGGTACAATAAAAGCAGGTACTGTAAATATAGCAGGTATTACAGTAATCATATTTGTAATCGTGATTATGCATCATGTAATCGTAATCGATTACATTACCGATCATCGCCCCATGTCTGACCAGGGCTACCCTCGTGTGGTTAGACTTAATGTAATTATTAAGACAACGTAACAATAACTAATAACCTCCGGAATTCATCATCCGTAACGACTTAACTATCACTTGTTACAGTTTCTCGAGTCGTTAAACCTAAAAGATTATTGACTCTGTTTTGCTTCTTATTGTTTATTTTATTGTATGTTAAACACTATAGTAATGTTTTCCTTTACTGACTGTGTATATATTATTATGTGTTTTACAGTGACGTCCCCTGTAACAGAGATGCGTACAATGTTTATTTGACGGAACATGTAATCCTCGACCCAAGTACCGTGCATGGTGCTCCGTGGAGAGGTGAGGTGGTCTGTGTGGAGAGGTGAGGTGGTGCTGTGAGGAGGTGAGGTGGTCCTGTGTGGAGAGGTGAGGTGGTGCTGTGGGAGGGTGGGGTGGTGCTGTGAGGAGAGAGGTGAGGTGGGTGCTGTGAGGGAGGTGGGTGGTGCTCCGTGGAGAGGGTGAGGTGGTCCTGTGTGGAGAGTGAGGTGGTGCTGTGGGGAGGTGGGGTGGTCCTGTGTGGAGAGGGTGAGGGTGGTGCTGTGAGGAGAGGTGGGGTGGTGCTGTGAGGGAGGGTGGTGGTGCTCCGTGGAGGGGTGAGGGTGGTCCTGTGTGGAGGTGAGGTGGTGCTGTGAGGAGGGGGTGGGTGGTGCTGTGGGGAGAGGGTGAGGTGTGCTGTGTGGGCGGTGAGGTGGTGCTGTGAGGGAGGGTGGGGGTGGTGCTGTGTGTGTGGGGTGGTCTGTGTGGAGGTGAGGTAGTGCTGTGAGGAGAGGTGAGGTGCTGTGTGGAGGTGGTGGTGCTGTGAGGAGAGGTGGGGTGGTGCTGTGAGGGAGGGTGGGGTAGTGCTGTGTGGAGGGTGGTGGTGCTGTGGGGAGGTGAGGTGGTGCTGTGAGGAGAGGTGAGGTGGTGCCATGTGGAGAGGTGAGGTGGTGCTGTGAGGAGAGTGGGGGTGGTTGCTCCGTGGAGAGGTGGGGTGGTCGCAATGTGGAGAGGGGTGAGGTGGTGCTGTGGGAGAGGTGGGGTGGTGCTCCGTGGAGAGGTGAGGTGGTCCTGTGTGGAGAGGTGAGGTGGTGCTGTGAGGAGAGGTGAGGTGGTGCTGTGAGGAGAGGTGAGGTAGTGCTGTGTGGAGAGGTGAGGTGGTGCTGTGTGGAGAGGTGAGGTGGTGCTGTGAGGAGAGGTGAGGTGGTGCTGTGTGGAGAGGTGAGGTGGTGCTGTGAGGAGAGGTGAGGTAGTGCTGTTTTTTTCACACACACACACACACACACACGACATATTCATCCATCAGTGAGTGGGTAAGAGAACCATTTTAAGTCTCATTAACATCAGGTAGGATAAAATAATCCATCGTGTCTCATTTACTTATTTCTCAGCTGGGCCCTTGAGAACCCCGGAGCTCAGGTGTGGTTTATCCTCACTTCCCTGACGGTCGATGACTCGGATGGACTGGTGAGCGACCTCCAACAGAACTATCCTAACCTACACCTGGTAACTCCTGACCTAGATAAGATATTCAGAGACACGCCCTTAGATAAGATATTCAAGTCTGGTAAATGGGTGAAGAATACACGTGAGTTTTTCTTGTGTTGTAATTTGGTGATGGTGTTGGATCAAGTGGTGTTAGTGTTGGATTAAGTGGTGTTAGTGTTGGTGCAAGTGGTGTTAGTGTTGGATCAAGTGGTGTTAGTGTTGGATTAAGTGGTGTTAGTGTTGGATCAAATGGTGTAAGTGTTGGATCAAGTGGTGTTAGTGTTGGTGCAAGTGGTGTTAGTGTTGGATCAAGTGGTGTTAGTGTTGGATCAAATGGTGTTAGTGTTGGTGCAAGTAGTGTTAGTGTTGGTGCAAGTGGTGTTAGTGTTGGATCAAGTGGTGTTAGTGTTGGATCAAGTGGTGTTAGTGTTGGATCAAGTGGTGTTAGTGTTGGATCATGTGGCGTTAGTGTTGGTGCAAGTGGTGTTAGTGTTGGTGCAAGTGGTGCTAGTGTTGGATCAAGTGGTGTTAGTGTTGGTGCAAGTGGTGTCAGTGTTGAATCAAGTGGTGTTAGTGTTGGATCATGTGGCGTTAGTGTTGGTGCAAGTGGTGTTAGTGTTGGTGCAAGTCGTGCTAGTGTTGGATCAAGTGGTGTTAGTGTTGGATCAAATGGTGTTAGTGTTGAATCAAGTGGTGTTAGTGTTGGCCCAAGTGGTGTTAGTGTTGGTCCAAGTCGTTTTGCTTTAGCTCAAGTTAACTTAATCTAACCTAACTTTACCTAATCTAACATAAGTTGACCTGATCTAACTTGACGTGACGTAACTTAAAATTAATTTTTAGGTGTAAAAATGTTGTTTGTTTTATTCGTGTACACAGCGTGGCCCTTCAACAACCTGAACAACATGCTGAGGAACGTGTTAGTGTGGTGGTGGGGAGGCTTCTACAGCGACAGCGACACCATCTGCCTCAAGAGCGTTACACAACTTCACAATGTCATTTCCTACCAGGCCATAAACGGCATCGCCAACAATGCTCTGATGCACTTCAACCCTGGCCATCCCTTTATCAACTTGGTGATGGAATACCTCAAGGACAATTTTAAGGTAAATGTCTGTACCTGTGTCTGTACCCTGCGTCAAGGTTTAATTGAACATGAAACGTCATTGGCAAATATGACCATCTTATATAGCGTCTTACGCGATGGTTCTTATTGTTCCTGAAATATCGTCGTCATTTACCAGATGATAGGGAAAATATTAACTGGACTTTAGTTAGCATTAACCACCCTAACGTTAGCCTAATCTAATCTCCACAGGTGACGGACGGGTGTTGGGTAAATAAACAAATCTTACGTTGTTCATCCTTTACTTGTCCTCTTCACCACTGATCTGCTCGTTAGCCGCTTGGGCGGTCGGTCACATCTCTGTTACGCACTGTTGGCAAGTACTGGGCATGCACCGGCTCCTGAATGTATCTGAACCTGCTCCAGTGTTGGTCAAGTCTGGTCTTGAAACAGCTCACACTCGGTGCCGTCACAACACTTTCTGGCAGATTGTTCCAAGAGTTTACAACTCTCACTCCGAAAAAGTTTGCCCTCACAGTTTTCTGGACTTGCGGCTTCTTCAACCTTGAGCTGTGACCCCTTGTGGGGCGAGCGCCCGCCAGCTCCAGGTATGGACACTCGACCGAGTAGTGCCCCTTGAGATGTTTGTACACCTCAGTTAAGTCTCCCCTTGCCCGTCTGTAGTATAAGCTAGGCAGTTACAGGCGCTCTAATCTCCCAGGATAGCTGAGGTGTCGAAGTGCAGGCACCAGTTTATTTTCACTTCTTTCGACAACTCGTCCGAGCTCTTATGTACATAACCCTTCAAGCTACTTAATATTTTAGTATTGTGTGTAAAGAACATTTACAGGTATTTTAATTCGACACAATTATATTTACATTTGTCATGTTACTTTCCACGAAAAACTAAACCGGCTGTGTGGACTACAATGTAGTCCACACGACACCCCTGTTTCTGACAATGTTGCCTACAGTGTTACTAAAGTATGTGCCATACAGTTACAAAGGATCACCTGAAGAATCATAGCCCCAGCTTATTTCACCTAACGATTAAACCACCCTAAAACTATTTTGGGAGGATAAGGTTAGGTTAAGTTAGGTTAGGGTGGTTTAATCGTTAGGTGAAATAAGCTGGGCCGATGATTCTTCAGGTGATCCATTACAAGTTACCAACAATGTTACCAGCTTTGGTACCAAACAGTTACCAACAATGCTCCTAACACTATTGCCTAGGTGTAGACTGGACTCTTTACATTGTTGATAACAGTCGCCAACACTCGTTATAAACAATGTTTGCGTTTGGTGTGGCATCATGTTATAATATATATATTTTTTAACTTTCATTCAACTCCTTCTATACAACAGTTTTCCCAACAGAGAGATGGGAATCACAGCTAAACAGTCTGTAACTCCATAATGCACCAGAGGATTTTGAATTCAAAGAGTTAATAAACAAAATTACAAAAGTACAGTTATTGATAATCCCAGACAAGTTTTGAAGGGGCGAGAACGACTCTTTAAAGTTACGAAGCTCTCTATAATTTTCTTCACTAAATTCTTTCATTTCTATGATTATCTAATTTTTAATGGATATCAGAAGCGCAAATACCTAACGCCAATGTCTGGCTGTCAATTGAACGGCCGTCGGATCTGGCAGCAATATTCGATAATAAATGCAGCTCCAACGAGCCGATCAGTGGTGAAGAGGATAAAATAAAAAAGAAAAAGAAAAGAAAACACCTAACACATTACTACGCCAGGAATGGGTCAGCCATCTTTGTTTTTATCCCGTTTGATTTTCAATGGTTGCTTGACACTGCTGAAGTTGATTGCCGCTAGATTGCCGAAAGTAAACTGTCGTGTGCCGCCGAATTGTGTTTCAACGACAGGGTAACGCCTTCTTTAAGTTTCTCTCAGCTACCAGTCGATGATAAAAGAAGAAAACTTATGAAAAGTTTGTTCCAAGATGATACCATAGCTTATTACTTTTTCGTCTACTCCCACTTCACCATGTTGCTGTCCCTGCATTAAATAAAGCGGAAAATAATTTTCTCAAAGTGGGACCTAATTATGTGTTACTATAATGACAAAAGAAAGAGATGAGGCAGTCTCTACATCTAATAAAAATACGCATCTGTCTATCTGTCTGTTCCGGCCAGAGCTCCAAAACGGAGATTGTAATCATAGGATGGAAATAAAGAAACATAGCATAGACATTGTATCTCCACGTTTGAAGAGTGAAAACTAACTAAACCTGTCATTCCCTCTCACGAGCAGGTAGCTACGTGGCACGTCAACGGACCAGGAGCGGCCACCAAGATGCTGAAGATGATGTGTAACACGACCAAGTTGGACGATGTTCTGGAGGGAAACACAACTTGCGAGGGCGTTACACTGCTTTCAGAAGAACACATCCAACCAATACCATACCAGGACTGGAATATCTATTTCTCTCGTGGACACGGGTTGAAATTTGAGAAGGTAAAAATTCAATCCAATTTTGTGTCTAAATGTCTGTAATAATGTTCGTGATAGTTTTTCCAGAGATTGTATCATCCTCAGAGACAAGATTCCTTAACAATAGGTCATTGAATATAGGAAATATTGAAATGTTATTAAAATATCTTAAAAAAACAGGACTTGAACTTAATACTTACTGCCAAATTTTTTTTAAGTAGTTTCCCTTTATGAAGTTGGTGTGTGATCTAATCGTTTTCTTTTAGTAACGCAGAAAATGGCCGGATTAGGAGCAACTTTACTATTTGGAAGTGTCCACCGTTGTGGCGCATGGTAATAGTCTTTTCTTTTATCCTCTTCACCACTGATCGGCTCGTTAGCCGCTTGGGCGATCAGTCACGTCTCTGTTACGCACTGTTGGCAAGTACTGGGCATGCTCGTCCTTACCGGCACTAAGGCAGACACACCACTGTGAGGCCTCTGTTGACATGCTCATAAATCCACAACCGCGAAACGAGGCAGATTCAAGACTTGGGTGAACCGGCCAACCCTCGTCCAGTGTTATAACGGACTGAGTTTAGTCGTGTTTTCCTCATTCGTTTCTCCACACACACATGTAGCTTTAGAGATCATTGTCTGTATCTGTTCTAATTATAAAGTATAAAGCAACGTATTACACAAGATTATATGCCAATATTTTAGTTCAGTTCGTATAATGGCTCGTTTTAGGATGATTCAGTCTGATGTATCGAAAAGTTGTTCCTGAACCCTGGAAACACGTCATCGATGTCTCAAACTGGTGTCAGTCAACTGGTCACAAAAAGTATCCAGAATTATTTATATTGTTTGTTTGACTTTATTTGCTTAAAAACAAATAAACAAAGGGAAATAAGATAAATCTGTATTAACAATAACTAATAACGATAAAACACATTTTAAAATTATTTTCTTATTCCGAAAGTCAACGCTTTCGAAGACGTGTGTGTTGTCTCAAGACGAACACCCCAGACCAGAAGAAAACCAGGGCTATCAACAGCCTCCACACAACTGTCTGGTATATTTTAGACAGACTACAGACAAACCAAAGTAAGTCAACATAAACTTAATTCATGAAAGGCGCCTGTTAAGCGTTCTGACATCCCCGACGCCGTGGAGAGTCATCCACCCCCTCACTCGGACGCTCTGTTGTCCTTCAAAGATATTGTGCCGATCATATCTCCGTAAAATTATGTAGACCTTATCACTTTGTTATATTTACATTCTTGTCAATTTATGATTTGTTATTTACTGCAAGATATGCGGGATTTCATGGAGTAATATGATTTTCAGTGTACTAAAATTAACCAGGTTACAGCAGGTAGCAAACATAACTGTATGGGTCTGTTGCCTTTGTGTCAAGCTACACATGGAGCTACCGCTGTAATTTCTTAGCGATATACTGTCTAAAAAGTCTTCACTCTACAGCAGTGGTTTCCAAACTTTTTAACATGACGCCCCTTTGCTTTACACATCACAGTTAATAGTTTAACAAATTTATTGACAAAGCTTGGAGTACTTATTCTGAGTAATTCACACCATAGTTATAGGCAAAATTAATAAAAAAAAACATTAAAAGAGAAGAAATCCAGACTAAAACACACAGTTTGAGATAAATCTTAACATACCGTAACTGAAGATGAGGAGGATTGCGGTTGTACAGAAAGACACAGGTGAGGATGTACAAGACGCGCAAGGAGAATGAAATGATTGATAGGGTGATCACAGTACTTTGGTTTTGTACGGATGTGTGGAAGATTCAAACGGAGAGTTACTCCTGAAAGAGTTTCATTATATTCTTTTTGAGCAAAAAATTGCAAATTTTGGCAGGTGGCTTCACGCCCCCCCCTAATTTGGGAACCACTGCTCTACAGTATATGGGTTCACTGTATGCTAGAATGTAAAGCCACCATCAATTTCATCTCGGTATATAGCCAGTGTTAATAAAAAATAAAGGTGAAGCCGTTAGTAATAGACAGATGTTAATGTTCTACCATTAGAGATAACAAGTCCATTTACGTCCTACACACTTGGAATAAAATAACCAAACTAGTGCCTGTCATTGCTGGCAGCAACAGTATCTACGAGATGGCTGCCAAGACCCACTGTCCCATCACCTACCACCACTCCTCCTCACGATCACACTTCTTCTAGCTCACCAAACACCTACTGCCCTAACCATTACGCATCCCATTCCTTCAAGTATCATCTACACACACACACACACACATCAGCAACATTGATTTGGTAACGTTTCGACAAATATTTCTTGTTATCATCAGACTTAAACAAAAAAAAGTACATTAGCATCGAAAGAAAATAATATGAAGAATAAAATAAATAAATTACAAGGTACAGCAGCTAAAACAACTATCTGTGCATACTTTAGGAAACAATATGAGACCATGGACGAGAAATATTTGTATATAAGGGCTGTCACTAGTCACACGTAAAGTTTGGGAGCATATCGACCCCCACCTGCACAGATAGTTGTTTTAGCTACTGTACATGAAGTGCCTCGAGATAAAAATTACATAAAACAACAAATTGAGTTATTAATCATTAACCTTAACTCCAATTTAACTATACAGAAGAGAACCAGAGGAAACACAAACATCTTGACTGTTTTTTTTTTATGCCGAGAAAACAGACTGAAAACCCACAATGGTATAAGGTGAAAAATGAGCTGGGGTGTCAAATCTTAAGGTGATCCAATATTTTGAGGTTGTTGTGCATCTCATAATAGTGATACAGCTGGAAAAATTGTGATTGAAGTATACGGACTTCTCTGCAGGGGACCTAGACCTGGGTTGTACAGACCAGGTGTAGCATCACCTCGACACTGGGGATCACTGCCCGATCAAGCAGCCGCCTCGGAGGATAGCACCAGCTCGTCACAAGGAAATGGAGAAGGCGGTAGAGGATCTTATTCACCAAGGTCTGGTCGAAAAGTCCAGCATTCTGTGGGCGTCAGGAGTCGTCCTAGTGAAGAAGGATGGCTCGATACGTTGTGTGGACTACCGCCTTCAATGACGTGACGGTGAAGGACTCCCACCCCTTACTAAGAATCGATGACACACTGGATGCCCTAACAGGCGCCAAGTAGTTCTCAACACTTGACATGAAGTCTGTATCATCAGGTGAAGATGGCTGAAGAGGACAAGAAGAAAACAGCAATTTCATATGGCAGTTCAAAATTATGCCATTCGGCCTGTGCAATGCACCAGCTACCTTCAAACGCCTCATGGAAAGGGTTCTGGAAGGCTTGCACTGGAAGACTGCCCTCATATATCTGGACAATGTGATTGTCTTTGGCAAAACTTTCGAGCAAGAACTGGGGAGGCTATCGGAAGTGTTTGACCGGTTCCGAGCTGCACACCTTAATCCGGCCCCAAAGAAATGTTACTTGTTCCAGAAGGAAGTTCAATGTCTACAATCACTACCATCAGCATCATCACTATTACCATCAGCATCATCACTACCACCATCATCATCACTACCACCATCATCATCACTACCATCAGCATCATCACTATTACCATCATCACTACCACCATCATCATCACTACCACCATCATCATCACTACCATCCAGCATCATCACTACCATCAGCATCATCACTACCTCCATCATCATCACTACCATCAGCATCATCACTATTACCATCAGCATCATCACAACCACCATCATCATCACTACCACCATCATCACTACCATCAGCATCATCACTATTACCATCAGCATCATCACTATTACCATGAGCACCATACCAACATCATCACCACCACCACCACCACCATCACTACCATCAACCATCATCACCATCACCTACATCACTACCATCAGCATCATCACTACCACATCATCATCACTACCACCACCATCACTACTACAATCAGCATCATCACCACCACCATCATCATCACTACCATCACACATCATCAGTATCATCACTACTACCATCAGCATATCATCACCATCAGCATAATTATTACCATCATCATCATCACTACCACCACCATCACCACACTACAATCAGCACCACCACCACCATCAGCATCATCACCACCACCATCATCATCAACTATCATCATCACCACCATCAGCATCACCACCATCACTACACGCATCATCACTATTACCATCAGCATCATCACCACCATCATCATCACTACCACATCATCATCATCACTATCAGCATCATCACTAACAACACTCATCATCACACCACCACATCAGCATCACACTACCACCATCAGCATCATCACCACCACATCATCATCACTACTACCATCATCATCATCAACTAGCATCATCACCAACCATCAGCATCATCACCACCAATCATCATCACCACTACTACCATCATCATCACTACCACCATCATCACATCACTATTACCATCAGCATAATCACTACTACCATCAGCATCACTACTACCATCAGCATCATTATCACCACCATCAGCATCACCACTACCACCATCAGCATCATCACTATTACCATCAGCATCATCACTACCACCAGCATCACTACTACCACCACCATCAGCATTACAATCAGCACATCACTACTACCATCACCACACCATCAGCATCATCAATTACTACCACCATCAGACATCACTACTACCATCACTACTACCATCAGCATCAATCACCATCACCAGCATCATCACTACTACCATCAGCATCATCACTACCACCATCATCATCACTACTACCATCAGCATCATCACTACCACCATCATCATCACTACTACCATCAGCATCATCACTACTACCATCAGCATCATCACTACCACCATCATCACTACTACCGCATCATCAACACTGCCATCAACATCACTACTACCATCAGCATCATCACTACTATCAACATCATCAAACCCCATCCACACAAATCATACCAAGTTCTTACACAGAAAAGTCGTTATTCTACCTGTACTGTTGTCTTCAATCAATCATGAAAGTTGCTCAGGCCAAGGGTCAAGATCATTGAAGCCTATGTCCATCACAAACTCTTAATGCAGCCAAAAGAAATCATTCACAAAACTGCAGTGAAGGAGGTTTTAATAACCATGGCAAAGATTCAACGCTCGCCCAGACCCGCCAAACAGCCTATCAGGTTAAAAGGAGCTTGGCACTGGGCTGAAGCTCATGGCGACTACCTAAGCCAAAATTCACAAAACTACAGTAAAGGAGGTTCTAATACATTCACGCAAAGATTCAACCGTCCAGACCGCCAAACAGCCTATCAGGTTGGGCAAAGGAATGTAATTAGTCATACACAACTTCTTCATGCAAAATTCACAAAACTACAGTAAAGGAGGTTTCTAATACATCTACGGCAAAGATTCAACGTCTCGTCCAGACCCGCCAAACAGCCTCTCAGGTTGGGCGTAAAGGAGCTAGGCAATGGGCCACAAAGAATGATTGCAAAACTGCCATAAATGGTGTTGATGCACAAATAAAAACTTTGTTGGACGAAGCTTTTGTCGTTGATTACACGATTGAGACTTTCGAGTTTGATGTACCCCACTCCATCACGGCTGTACCCCTAAATAGCCATAATGTTATGCAAGTAAAAACCTTATGGGAACTAGCCTTAGCAGCAGCTGCCTTTGGGAAAGTAAACCATGACTGAGGAGGAGGAGGAGGACTTATCAACATCATGAATATCACCATCACTACCGTCATCCTCACAGTATCATCATTACCATCCTCACTATACCATGACCACCACTACCATTTACCTGAATGGCTGATCAAAATTAGTGAAAAATTAAATTGTATATCCATAATTTGTTTTTTATTTACATGAGTTTGATATATATCCTAACATTTTACATAATATAAACTGTGGTTCATTATATTAAGAGCAAGTCAAAATTATGCATAAACATTTTGTCTGTCTACCTTTGCATATCTTCATACACAAGAATGTAATAATGATGTCGATTACATGTAGTCTTTGCCACTTTGTTCGATATTCATAGGAACCAAATAATTACACTTTTCAATATATATATATAACCTTTTATTGTGCAGTCATTGCCTTAATCACAAATTTGAAAATGTACAACGGGCAATAGCTGAATAGGACCTCAACTTGTTAAGTGTTGCATGTGGTTAGCTTATTTAACCTGTTTGTATAACATGGCATATCACACCAACAAAGTTATTGTAAACCTGTGTCCTTGATAGCATTAATATTTCCAAGAACGAGTCAACATTTTTATATGATATGAAAACTAAAAGAACTGGGTTTATGTACAACAATATTTTACACCCATACACACCAGACATTTATTCACTAGTGATTTTTTATCATTTTGACTATGCCCATAATCAATTATGTACTGTTGCAGTTACCATGCACAAAATGAAGTCTCAACTAACAGCCAACTTGTGAAAAGGTGCATAAATGTCGTCATGTACACATACCACTCCTTTAGACATTCAAATAAGTTCATCATGCCTGAGGAAGCTCTACAATACAGCTCTCTTGGATATTTAAAACAAATGAAAAACTCGTGACATTAAAAGGCAGCTGAATTCTTTAAATTAAATTTTTACAAGCAAAAAATTGAAGCAGCTTTGAAGAGGTGGTAAATGTATTATACCTCTCCTCCACCCATGCAAGTTCTTATAAGAAGTCCATGAATAACAGCATCCAGCCAATATGCCTGTGCTTGATACAAGTTGCTTTGGCATATATATATATATATATATATATATATATATATATATATATATATATATATATATATATATATATATATATATATATATATATATATATATATATATATATATATATATAATATATATATATATATATATACTATATATATATATATATATACTATATATATATATATATATATATATATATATATAGTTACATAAATAAACTCAAAACTACCAAGGAAAGGTTACTGAATATATGTATACATAAAGGAATTGAGCATAGGAAATAGGAAATAATTTTTATGAGTTACACAAACTTGAAATCACTGTCAACAAATCAAATTTTACATACTGGTATTAATAACCATTAATTTTAGTCTCGCATAACTTTGACTAAATGATTTACTGTATGTCAACTGTACATGGAAACCGAAAGATGGAATATTTTCTATAAAATATTTATTTCTCAGTAGCAAAATTAGGAATATATAATACTCTATATACGAGTATCATTAAAATAGGTACACACCCCAATAAATACACTTCAGGTATACTGTAACAGGTTATTAGGTACCTGAAAATGAAGTTTATATAATTCATATCACAACTCCACATCTTATGCAACTGATCTCAATACTGGTGCTATGAGTAAAACTTTTACTGTGGCGAAGATTTTTAAATGGTTTTAGTTTTCTCAAAGGGTCTATGAATGTCATGATAAAGTGTTCAATAGTTCCTAACTAGCATGCAAATTTATATATATATATATTTTTTTAACAACATTCAAGTTTTGCTTCAGAAACCAACTGCAAACCTTTTCTGATTTTTGACGACACTGAACACCATCCAAATATCAAACGAGAAACACATAACCAATATTATTATTTCCCGACTAGTTACAAATACTAAAAAAGAAAAAAAAATATATATATACTGTATCTTTCATAATTAAACTCTTATGTACAGCTCCTTTAAAAAGAATTAAAAAAAAAAGTGTCATTTGATATACTAAGGTGATGTAAGGAAAACTGTCCCAATTCAGCTTAAATGCTAAACTTTAGTGTGATGGTTCCTAAGATAGTTTACTTAATAGTAGTGACTTCACTCCAGGCTACTAAACATATCTGCAATAGGACTTCTCTGCACAACATACTTTTTAAAAGTTCGTTCATCCTATCAAATATAAAATATGCAAAATACCAGCAAAACCCACATACAAAACCTAGTCTGGATATTAAAGAATGACCATATGGATATTTTTTGCTTGTATACAGGATAACCTATCATACACATCCCTGATATCCTTTAAAAAAGATTCATTCAAAATCTGACTCCTACAGATGATCACACAAAAACTGTCTTTAGGACTGGAAAATTTTAATACAGTATACAAAAATGGTAGACACATGGGAATCCAACTACATTTTTCTCCACCACAAAACATAATGTTTGACTCCTAACAATTACATAAAAAAACTTTCTCCTTAAGACTGAAGTTATGTTATCCAAAGATGGCTGATACAACAAGGATGAACTCTCCTGGCCACCTCAAAACTAGTAATTTTCTGTAGCAATGACAAATAATAATTTTCCAGAGAATGGCACAACAGGTTCTTCAACATTACCTGGAAATTAGATAAATGCACCTTTTTCAATTGCAAATTTTTATTCCATTATTACCACCCATAAGCTTTCTAGATACTGTGCGTGATAATTTTACGCGTCCTATTATTTGTCAAAATCTGGATGCAGATTCAGATTTATCAAAGACTGCCTTCTTTTATCCCTAATTATATTGAAAATTCCTACTTAACTTGAGTTTTGAGATATTGGAGGAATTCAACATAGGAGTGTGAGCCTTCTGTTCTGTCATCCGCAAGATGCTGAATAAATAACATACGAGCTGGGTTATCCTCCCTGGTGGAAAAGTAATAAAAATTAGTAAAACAATGTCTTATGTGTAGTACTTACATATGTACACCTTATTCTCAGTATGCAATGGCCTTATGTACAGCTCCCCCCCCCCCCAAAACTTCCTCCTTGATGGTGTTGTACAATGACACGACGGACCAGTAATTCTGAACAACACTCATGAGTTATGATGTATGCGTTTACTATAAGGTGTTAAAATATGCCTGCTTGCACAATGTGTTTCAAAATACAAATAGAGCAGTAGGCATCACATAAATCAAATAACCAAATGCATATCCTACTACAGATAACCTCCAATTTTTATCACGTGGCATAACACAGAGGTTTCATAAACTCGTTTCATAATGCATTTACTTCTTTACAGCAACTTATTCCCTATGTGTAATATTGTATGACTTACCATTTGTTTAATTTATTTCATTTTCTTCCTAGATGAGGTCTTGTATTACTTCACTCTTGAAACTTGATGCAAATGCAAAATCTATACGCATTGTATATAGAGTACAGTAAACCCTCTCTAACAGCTGAGCTCCCATCCATGGATTCTGGATATCCATAACAGACAGACTTACCAGATAAAGGTTAACAAAGTTGGTAAAATTTCTTGCAAAGCATTGATTACTGTAAAGATATCCACTAACCATACACCAATAACTAATCAAATCCCTTCCAAGCTAATGCAGCATCATACAAATATTTCAAAACCAAGAGTGTTACATACAGAAAAAATACTTACTTTAAAACTAGAACAGGAGCATGATAAGGCTTATTTCTTTGTAGATGTGCAACAAAGTTGCGAAGAAACTGCGATTCAATGGTGTCCAGGGCAGGTAGAGCATCTTCATATAGCGGCTGAGGAATGACTGCATAGCTTGGTACTCCTAAAGTTCCCTCAACCCAACTTGATGAAATTCCAGAGCGCACATATATATATATTGTGGCACCCGCATCCATTAGGTACGCGCCACACCGTTCCAAACGCTCAGCAGACAAGTGAAGGCGCCCAGGTTGAGGAATAACCTGTAAATATGGTATGGCAATATTTATGAGAATGAAATAAAATGATATCTTGATAGACAGTACATAAACTTAAGTACTCCTTTTATCTTTAAGCATCCCTCCAATATCCTCTTCCATTTCAGGAGAGTCCCATAGACCTGATGGCCCATTAAGGGCAGTTAAAAGACAGTATGTATGTAACTTCTCAGTACATAAAATAATAATTCTCCTCAATATAAGCATTCCTAGACATAATTCATGGCAAACACCAGGTAAGATTTGCTATTTTAGTATGGACATGACATACCAGCTCAGCTACATTAATAACTTAAAACAATTAGGTATAATGATCTTCCAGCTCTATCTATCTGTTGAACAAAACTTATCTCTGATGACAGAAATCCACATTACCACTAAACAAGAGCTATAGCAGCAACCTCCCAGCAGTTAACAAACCATTTGTAAAAAAATCAGTGTTTCTTTTTTCAAACTTGCTCAAAGTATAGCCAAACACAATACAGTATGTCCCCCAACTTCGCAGATTTTTACTTTGAGGTTCTCAGTTATTCACGGATGACACCCTGGATGTACCCATGAATGTCTGTGGGTAGTTTTAAAGTTGCCGGCATTTTTGCGGCTGGGACAGGGAGCCATTCGTTCAAGAGACGGTAATTTGCTTTACCTGTATTGTAAATGTGTTTGTGTGTGTGTATAGACACACAAAAAAAAACATACAAGTAAATAATAATTGGAAAATCCTCTCACAAATACAGTAATCAGAAACAAATTTATTAAAAATGGAAGTCTCCCCTCAAGTCCGTGCTTTATTACTTTAATAAGAGGGTAGACTTGAGGATACTATAAATTTGTTTCTGATTATTTGTGAGAGGATTTTCCAATTATTATTTACTTATGTTTTTTTTTTGTGTGTGGATGTGTCTATACACACACACACAATATTACAGGTAAGAGGTAAAAGAAATAATTGTCCTAAGGACAGACACAAAGGGAAATACATTTCTTTGTACACAAGAAAACATGTAACCCCCACCCTCCCCTATCCACAAGTGTTATTCGCGGATTTGGCAATTTGCGGCCATTGAGAACCTAACCCCCGCAAATTTGGGGAGGGGGGGGGGGGGCCTGTACTTACAGTCTCTTACCTGTTTTTTAGACCATACAGCACACTTCAAACCAGACAAAGAATTTAGACATTATAATATCAAATTGAAATAATGCTCAGACAATCTTACCTGATCATCCACATTAAGAGCCCCTTTCTCTGACAACATGTGGATGGGATACAGGTCTGGATATATATAGGTCATGAGATGTCTTAGCGGCATAGTTTTCAATTCACACATAGAGAATAGACGGTCGTCCAATTTTGTGCTCAATCCCCCTCTGAATGCAATCTGTAAAACAATATTTGCAGTACATTTTTAAACAGCAGTGATGGATAGTGTTACTCTGTTGTACACGGAATTATTACTGTCCATATATTCTTTAACAAATGCAAAGTACAACTTCCATAATCAAAACCTGACATGCACAAAACAAATTATAACTGGAGAAGCAACTTACTGATTTAACAAGGGCTAATGTGAAGAGAGGAAGAAGCTTTAACGTAGGTGATGCTTCTAAGGCTCCATGTGCCGGGTTGGACAGTCCCACCTTGAAGGCCGTAAGTGCGTCCACACAGGCATTAATTAGGGCATCACGAGCATCAGACAATGATGATGTAACACACCGATCGACAGCCATCTTGGCTAACAACGCAACTACCGCTTGTTGGTCAGCTGCCGTTACAATTTCATGCATGTTTGGAGAAACAGGCAGACATAATGTATGTACTCTGATTCGACGTTCACCTGAAATACAATAAAGTAAATGAGTTTTGTATCAAATCCTTTATATTACTAACCATAATTTACCGAGCCTTAGTAGTTATATGTAATTTCTACAGAAACTGTAGTTGTGTATACTGATGGTAACCCAAATATACAAGTAAAATTTTAGTATAAATACAGTAAAAGTACCTGGCACAGCAAAAGTGACATTTCAAGTAGTCTAAATATCTTTTATTATTTCAAAGGTCATTAATTAACACAAATTTTGAGAATTTTTCAATTGTGAACCCAGATCCTTAATCAGCATGTAAAGTAACACCTTTGTATGAAATTTGAAGAAAATCCATTTTTTTCACCCCAGTGCTGAAACTTTTGTAAGGCGTATTTTTGACGGAAAACGATTTTGTTTGAAAAGTGAAAACTAGCGTATTTACATGGTAAAGATAGTCTATATTTCTTAGAAAATGTATAAAAAGGGGATTTAAATCTTACGTACACAGCAGGGTTGGCAAAAGCCACCTTGAAAACCTAAAACCTTTGTTCTTTTTATCCCCAAAAGATTTATTTTAATGCCATCATGGTTTTATTAATTTTTAAGTATTTTATAACTTTATATAACCTTTTGATATGCTAATAATCATTTATACTCTTTTTCTATCTCAAAAACTCACTCTGCAAAGGTCATATTTGATAAACACAAGCTTTGATCAGTCACCCAGACTCATTCTACATGCTTAACGGCAAAGTTGGAGAGAAGGGGGATGTGGCAACTTTGCTCCCCTGGACCCATATAATACATGATCTGAACACATTATAATCAGAGGCTCAGAGCCCAACCATGAACAGAAAGTCACCAGTTATACTGAAGTGGCAACTTGGCTCCCTTATAATCAGCCCTGTAAGAAAGCTTATTATCAACACTTTCACCAGTGTATAATAGTTCACATCCATGTATATATTGAACAAACACAGGGACACAAAGCATCCACATTTATTTCAAATGTTTCACTTTCTGTTCTCACAGAATGCTTTTACTACATTTAAAAGCCTTCCTCACACACTAGTAATGCCTCCCACAATGCTTTTCTGTTCACTCTATCATATGCTTTTTCCAAATCTACTATAAATCACTAACCATCTTCGAGTAACAAAAAAAATTAAAACCAAGAAACAAGGCATAGATTATAAAACAAACTAAAACAGAGTTTTCTTGTTTGGTTTAAATGATTGGTTAAAATCGGTCAACCCTGACTGTAGTGTCCTTAGTAAACAGCACTGAAGAGGTAGACAACCCCACCTCACCACTCTGAGGTCTTAACCCAGCCCACCCCTCCTCACCCTTTGAGTTGAGGCCTCACTGCCCTCCCTTAAGGTAATGTATCAAAGTTATACTGTATTTTATTAATTTTCATGAGTATTAGGTAGTAAATTGTAATAGATGGCTATTATTCTTCATTAGTTAGGTATTATTTTTTCATGAACTGATTTCATGTTTTTGGGGTATATAGCATTGGGGTTTTCTTGTTATTGGGGAACTGAACCCTAGTTTTCCCATTTGTTTTGTTATTCGAGACAAGAAAAATTCACATAATGAATGGTTTTTAAGGAACCTAAACCATTTGTAAAGCAGGGGACATTTATATATACTGAATATAGTACACATAAATGAACTTTAACGATATATTTATAAATTCACCGATTTCTTTACCTTTGCTAGATGTATAGAGAAGAGCAGCTTGGAAGCAGGCAGTACGTATGTTATGAAGTGGCTCCTCAATGTTCACCTGCATTCCAAAGCCAGCATCAGGGTTGATGTTTGGCAGAGACAGTAGGTCAGTGGACCGAACAAAGAAGTTCCCATGGAAATTTGTAATAGCCAAACCCCTGGTTGCTCTGTAAAATACAAAGAAGTCTAAAATTTAAAGAATATTACTAAAGTAACAGAAAATTAATGCATCTCAAAAGCATAAAATTAAGGGAAAAAATCCATTGAATCATTGTCCTATGACCAATACACATGTCATACCCAATGGAATGACTTAAAATCCATCCATCAATCTTCCATCATCTTAACTTCTACAGACTCTGGAGTTTGGATCTAGTGGTATAACAATGGCAGAGTATGTGAGATCTAGTAAGTCTTGCACTGGGTTACCTGTGTCTTAGCAATATTATAAAGTAGCTTTTACAAGAAATAAAGTAATCAAAGTGGCCAGATACTGTTTTATCTATTTTCTACCAAATTAAGTACATAACTTCATTCATAAAGCCTCTTTTATATATGTTTACTCACCTAATCCTCATGACAGCCTCAAAGCCAATCTTCCTGGTAATATATCGTGTTAGGCAAGAGACAAATGGACCTATGGCAGCTGGATTCCTGGTTACATGGAAATTTGGGAAATGATGGATGCAACCTCCCGAGAACTTACTCACTCCCGTAAGTGTGGCCATATCCACATACTGTGAGTTCAGTGCAAACAAATCCACTGCAATCTGAAATAATTTGCTTAATATGAGAAGACTGGAATAATCAATCACAAAATAAAGGAAACAAAAATTATTAATGAAAATGCAAGCTAATGTATAAACTGCCATTTCCTAATTTTCCACAGTAACACCTTCCAAGATCAAGGAATCCCTAATCTATAAAAATAAAAACTACAGTATACTTCTATGAGTACTCGAGGTGACAAGAAACAATATAAATTCCCTAGGCGTCTGCTTCATGGCCAATTTCTGTCATCAACAATCCTATTCACCGTTTTATCGGACATTACTGATTTTATCCTCTATACTTATGGGATATTTGATAAAAACAATCTTCAACATTGTGTGTGAGAAGCAGTAATGGAAATTTGAGCCTTAGAGAGGGATAACAACCATATAGCCACCTCTAATTTCCCTGGCGGGTGACTATAATAGTCAACCTGGCTACTGAGTTCCATAATTACAATATGTAGTACAGTATAGAGCATTATATAAAACCTTTCTTAATCTTTAATAGTCCCACTAACACCAGCTTCAATATGCAAATACCCACTCTTATCAAATTCCTAGTTTTACATTACTGTATACAAACATTATTATGCATGACCTCATTACCTTCACCTTTCTCTTAATCTGTTAATTTCCTTTAATCTTCTCCTATTTCCATGAAGTGGGTCAAAGAATAGAGAAAGATAAAAGATACAGAAATAAGAGATTATCTGCAAAGTACCAAGCATAATTGTGGCATATAGCTAATGGTTAGGTAAAACAGTTAAGTAGATATTACATTAAACATCTTATAAAGGTAATAATGATGTGAATTTTACCTGTTTATCACCTAACCCATACCTGCTGGCCTGAACAGTCAAGAGATAACTTTTTATAGAAATCAGTCGCAGGTCCCATGTTCTGGATGTCCTTCCCGGCTCGTTGGTTAGGATCTTCACGAGCCTTGAGTGCACCAGGACCCACAGATGGTAGTGTGGTCGTCATTACCGTGATGCGTCCACCGATAGCACTCTGGGGTGAGAAACAAACACTACTGTAGGATTATAAAACATTAAAAAGTTATATGGAGTCCAATTCTGAATTATTTCACATTAAGCCTTAAATGGTGGTCATCATCAGTGCATGTTAGGTGAAGGAAGTCTCGTGTTCCATTTGTGAGCACCTCTGACCCCTTTGATTTAGTTCTTTCTCCACAAATTTATCAATGCACATTTTTTTCTCCTATGGTTTATCACTCATTGCTTCTCCCTGTCCACTTCTCTAAAGCATCTGTTTTTGTTACTTGAGTCTTGTTCACAATCACTTTACCAAGTCACATACACTTCTAACTTCATCGACCAATATTTGTAACTTTTCTCCTGAGTCAACCACAATAGCAGTGCCATCAGCAAGGAGCAGCAAACTTGTCTCTTATTTACATTCCCTATTATTTATATTAACCAAACCCATCTCCATCTCTCCTGCTTGCATCTCCTTTACTATCCTTTTGTATGTACAATACATGAATATACTGTATAATATAACCATAATGGTAATACATGTCTTCATCTTTACAAATCTATAACAGTATATTAAAGCACACCATTAATTTGTAGGCAGCTTGTAGAGCCGATCCAAGAGCAGACTGAGTTTGGAAAGTGCCGGCATGTGCATCAGGGAGCATTGTGAGTAACTCCGTCACAAGCTCACGGCTCTGCTCCAGGTTGACCAGCAGGTCCTCAGGGTTCGGCACAAACATATCCTCTATCTCCCCAACGTCTAACATCTGAACGTGTTTTTGGTCTGTAAAAGAACGAGTATCATTATACAGAGAGACTTGGCTGTATGTTGTACCAGTACATGTTATTTCAAATATGAGTCACTAATAAATATATACAGGGGCCACCGAAGTTCGCAAATTTGTATTTTGCGGTCCTATTATTTGCAGATGACAGCCTGGATGTACCCAAGAATGTCTGTGGGTAGTTTTAAAGTTGCCAGCATTTTCACAGCTGGGACAGGGAGCCATTTGTTCTCGAGACAGTAATTTCCTGTGTGTGTGTGTGTGTGTGTGTGTGTGTGTGTGTGTGTGTAAAATACTGTATACATAGAAATAAATAATAATGGGAAAATACTCTCACAAATAATCAAACAGATTAATTAAAAATGTGAGTCTACCCTCAAATCCGTGCTTTAAGACTTTATTAATAAAGCACGGACTTGAGGGTAGACAGTCCGCAAATGTTATTCAAGGATTTGGCGATTCACGGCCATTTTGAAAACCAAACCCCCGCGAATTTGGGGGGCCCCCTGTACTGTAGTAGTAAATTTTCATTATACCTGTACATCAATTAATTCACATATACTGGACTGTACTTCTCCTGTATCATTCACTGTTTTATACTAAGTTTGTGTACCCAAATACAGTATTTATGTTTTTAATGTATTCTTTAGTAAATTACAGTAGTGTACTATTTACCATTAGTTCAGTAATTTTTTTTTTGTTCGTGAACCAATTTAATGGTTTGGGGTGTGATATTGTGGTTTTCTTGTCATTCTGTTATCCCAGATATAAAAATTCACATAGTGGATGGTTTTTCACGAGCCCAACCCATTTGTATGACAAGGGATATCTGTACAGTATTCACATTCATTTGGTACCAGGTTAATAAAACATTGTTGTAAAATAATCAATTCTCCTAAAAAGAATCCCACAACCCAACCCCAGACGAGTTATAGCATTGTGTTAAATTCCCGGTGTTTGTTTACAAAGTGCGACTAGCTGATCATCCTTGCCCTCCCTCTGAGCAGTGTTGCCAATGCTCTCCTGTTCATATGCCCCTCTGCTGTCACTACTCAAGTTGGCTGGTGCTTACCACAACAACAGTCTTCAACACTTAGTAAATACAGTATAACAATATAATGTAGTGTACTGTATTTATCACCTGTTAATAAATACTCAAAGGTAACAAATAATGTTTCTAGGAATATATCTCCTTATCAAATACTATACAGTACAGTATGTTATAAAAGCCCCATTTACTGAGCTTTCAAGGGGTATTACTGTACAAGTTGGAGCACATACCCATAATTACATTAATTCTTACAGGGGTAATTTCTTATAAGGAAACGTTTCACTAAAAGTCACTTTTCGCTGGAACACATCCCTGACGTATAATGAGGACCCCTGTAATTCTATTTGAAGTCAATGAACAACTTATCTACTGTAAATCATTATATAAGCATAGAATGGTTCAGTGACAGTTATTTTTTTGTTAATGTTTCCACACCCTTCAGCACTAGCTCATCTGATAAGGCAGCAAGATGTAGTATGTAAAGGAGTGTCACAAGGTCTGTATTGATCGGGATTTCAAACCATGAACCAGAGTGTGGGAAACTGCTTACATGAATGGGAAAAAAATATTATAGCACAATTCTTACCTTCTCCCATTAGGTAGAACTGTACACTATTGCTGTAAGTAATGAAACCAACCATAGTCCGGCGGTCTCCAGGTATTTTATCTAGCTGCGTCAACAATACATCACATAAAACCTGGAAAAACAAATCAAGTATTAAAAAAATAATACATTTTAGTTATTCTAATTAAAGTTACTTTTCCCAACTTACAATAAACAGCTTTCTCCACTTATCTAACAAAGGTAAAGTTCTAGTAACTTGCAAGTTAGGAGAATCAAACAACTTACTGAAAAAAAAAAACTATCCTTGTAAGGTAATTTCAATTTTCACAAGCTGTGTTGGACAATATTTACATCTCCCACTTGTCCATTTTCACCTTACAGTATAAGAAAAGAGCATAAGCTGTTTACTATGTATAATTAGCCCCACAAAACATTTCAGTAGTTTGTGTGTTATGTGCAAGTAAGAGAAATTGTGAACAGACATCAATTTATAGTTCCCTCCGTTCTATAGACGGGGGAGTAACAAATACATTCCTGACACATACCTTAAGGTAGCCCGTGTCAACAGCTTGTCGTGACACATCCAGCACCCAGAGATATGTTGCTGGTTGAGGAGGCCGTAACATGTATTCCTGTGGGGCAATAAATTCTATTGTTGCTTCTCGAACTTCAGGCCTTCTTGACGGGTCTCCGTAAGTTCTACTAACCTGTTCGGGAAGAAAATAAATACATACTTACCAGGTATTTCATAGGCAATCATAAATACTTTCACTTCCCTACATTAAAAGTGGTGTGTGATGCAATGTAATTCTTGACTAAAGTGTACATGTGTGTATAAACTCATCCTATTATTGAAATTCTTCCCTGTGTTGGTGTATAGATGCTCACAGTGCAAGTGAAGTCGTGGCTCAGCTAGTGTTATAAGCGACTTGTTAAGGATGGGGTGAGAAAGTCATCAGTAATGCAGCAATGTGCACAGAGTTGGTCATTTTCTTTTTATTTAAACAAGACTTATTTGATTTATTATATTTATTTGAAAATTTTGTCCATGTACAAGATAGAGTACACTGAAACAAGTAAAAAAGATCAGTTTCATTAATATACGTTTCTGTAGCACAAACAACATGAAGTAATTGAAGTAAACTATTTTACCCTGTATGTAAATGTAATAGCGATTTAAACACCCAAATCATCTTCAAGTTTGGATTATAAATGTGTTGTTCTGTAAAACTGCAACTCTGGCTAAACCTATGACATAATTCTTGTGTGCTTCTTTGATTGATTATTTCTCTTTATTCCCATAAAAGAACATAACTTAAAGCATATTCATTTATCCATATATTGTACTGTATACAGGTACTCCTTGACTTACGACAACCCGGACATATGACCGCCGTGGTCGTATAAAATATTTTTCAAATTACGCATTTTCGAGTCCCGACGTTAGTGATCGCGGTGTGTACTGACAAAATTTTTGTTTGTAATTCCCTTTAAAATTGCTGGCAAGCGTAAAAGTGAAAGTTCTCGTGGTGCCGAGAAGAAAAAGAGACACCCATTTTAGAATTTCTATGTATTATTTTTGCCTTTTCGACTTACGACCAATTCGACTTACAAATTGGTCGTCGAGACGGAACCCTGTCATAAGTCGAGGAGAGAATATATATATATATATATATATATATATATATATATATATATATATATATATATATATATATATATATATATATATATATATATATATATATATATATATATATATATATATATATATATATATATATATATATATATATATATATATATATATATATATATATATATATATATATATATATATATATATATATATATATATATATATATAATTTTTTTTGAGCTCTTACCAGATGTGCCAATATGGACTTCATTTTCAACAACAAATCTCCCCCCACATATCCATTTGGTTAACCCATGTTGCTTCAGTACTAACTCACACAAAAACATTATAAATATTCACTTACAGGATCATATTGGAATTCTTCAGGCAGCTCATTGACTCTGAAGCACAGGTTACACTCCCATCGCCTTTCTCCTTTGAACACCACAAAGGGATTGATGTAGGTTCGGCAAGATCGACAACGCACTATTGTGTTGCAGCTCACAACTGGAAGGTGCTGTGAATAAAATCAAAGTCTTAGTAGCAATCCACAATCTTATAAAACAAATGAACATCATTCAAGTTACATTTTACCACAAAAGACATTGGAATAATAATGTGTTCTCCTGATCACTCTCAACAAAATGTTAAAAAAGGGACTCAGATAATTTGAAGTACCTTGAGGTTATTGGAAATAAGGAGTTGGGAGCAAGCTCAATTTTCTCTCTCAAATCTTCTAATACTGCTATGTTCATGTCTTTAACTGAAACTGTACAAAAATCAGTTGTTTGTATACATTATGTGTACCCATGATTTACACTGATTGCACTCAATGAATATAGGGCACTACTATCACCAATCATAGCCAGGTCACATACATTCTACCCAAAGTTGAAGTTTAAGCTCCTCAGCACTAGTAAGAAATCTTCCGTATCCCAGCTAAAGAATGGAAACCCCATCCCAGACATTATACATCCATCCAAAAGTACAAATCAATCTTAAGAGGGCTTCCTAGGTAAAACAGACACTAACATTTTACTCCTTTAAAACCACTACAAATATCTAAGGAAAAGACCCCACCTGTCTCTGAATATCACCCTGAGAGAGATGCTTCCTAATCAGTGCTTACCTAGAACCCCCAGGAAGACAACCAGCCTTCACTACAAGCATCTTCCCTGCAGCTTTCATGATGCATCTCCCTCCTGAATAAGGAAGGAGCTCACCATGAAACATGGATTTTCTCTGCCCGAGAATCAACCGACCTATTCCTAGTAATCCTTCAAATTTATAGATGTTGACCGAGTCCTTCCTAAGGCTCCAACTTACCTGGTGAGCCACAAACACTCTGAAATTTACATCACTGCGAACAATGTGGCAATTAATGCTGCTCCTGCCTTCTGAGCAGTGCAGCCAACAAGCACGTCTAGTATGACTGGTGGATGACTCTGTACCTGATTTCTCACCTTACCCAAGAAAATGGACTGAACATCTAAGAAACCTGTTTTGTTCAAGGTAAGGTGAGTATGGTACTATTTAATTTGTTGAACATTTATGAAAGATAACTGCCGAGTCATACATTAGCAAAGGAACACCGTACCAGGAAAACTTACCTCAAGGTCCTTGAATGGATGTATGAGCAAGCCAAATGGAAGTTTGGCCTTCTGCAGTGTGGACCTCGTTTCAGGAACTTTTGTCAGAGTACTCCGGAATATATCTGGCGAGCAGTTTGGCAGATACTCTTGGGCAAGATTTGGCTTTGGTGGTGTAACACCTTCAGGAGGCAACACCTGGCGCAGCTGGAGTAGGTCCATCTGCTGAGTGCCCCATCCTTTATTCCACCCATCATGTGTCACAGACAGCCCACCTAACTGCTGTGACAACTGATTAACATTTGATGGACCACCTTGTCTAAACTGTGTTTGAAAATGGTGTTGCTGTTGGCTTGGGTATTGAGGCAGTGATCTTGGTTGGGCTGGTCCAGCAGTGCTCCCAGGAAATGGTGCAGCCATCGATGATGGTCCCATGGATGTTGGTGGGGGTCCCATGGATGTTGGTGGGGGTCCCATGGATGTTGGTGGATGCCCCATGGATGTTGGTGGATGCCCCATGGATGATGGTGGGGGTCCCATGGATGTTGGTGGATGCCCCATGGATGATGGTGGGGGTCCCATGGATGTTGGTGGATGCCCCATGGATGGATGATGGTGGGGGCCCATGGATGTTGGTGGACCCATGGATGTTGGTGGGGGACCCATGGATGTTGGTGGATGCCCCATGGATGTTGGTGGATGCCCCATGGATGTTGTGGATGTGGATGGATGCTGGGATGGATGCCCCATGGATGTTGGTGGGGGACCCATGGATGTTGGTGGGGACCCATGGATGTTGGTGGGGACCCATGGATGTTGGTGGGGGACCCATGGATGTTGGTGGGGGACCCATGGATGTTGGTGGGGGACCCATGGATGTTGGTGGGGGACCCATGGATGTTGGTGGATGCCTCATGGATGTTGGTGGGGGACCCATGGATGTTGTTGGAGGACCCATTGAAGATGGTCGTACACCAAAAGATGTAGGTGGAAGGCCAAACCTCTGTGGAGGACCGACAGATGTTACTGGAGGAACCACTGAGGGTTGGGGGCCATATGACATTGGTGAAGGACACACTGATGTCTGTGTAGGCCCTACTGCTGGTGGTGGTCTAGGCCCCACTGATGCTGGAGGAATGACAGAAGAAGATAAAGAGGCCACAGCAGTACGTGGAGGAAGTTGAGGAACTCTAGATGCATTTGGAGGAGCTACAGATGAAGATTGAACCATATAAGATGATGGAGGAACTGCAGAAATAGCTTGAGAGACAAAAACAGTAGGTGTAGAGGGATTGGAAGTAGGTGGAGGAACCATGGAATTCTGCTGGGTATTCTGACTTGTTCCTCCACGAACACCAGACTGTGGAGGTCCACTTGTAGCTGGTTTTGTAGTGTTTGTGTTATTTCCAGAGGGACCACCTGTGGACAGTCCACTTAATTGATTACCACTAATTGAAGAGTCAGTCACGGACTTTGCAAATGATGGTACATTACGAGGTGGTGGCACAGCAGTGTTTGAGGATGCATCACTGATAGAGGGCACTGATCCACTATGATGAAACTGTGGTACATTGTTAACTTGAACACCACTAGGGAGTTGTGATGTAACAGTTCTGTTCAAAGACTCACTACTGACGTGAGTTCCACTGACAGGTGGTTCACTAGACACAACAGGAGAAGACACAGGCACACTGGCAGGGAGGCCATTGACTGGTAAAGAATGTCCACCAGATTCAGTTTTTGGTGTTGTGATTGGAGACATCCTTGGGGACATTCTAGGAGAATTCCTCGGGCTAGCCTGGGACCGGAATGCAGGTGGATGGGAGCCTTCATTCAAACTCGTTGAAGATCCGCTCGGTGCTGAAACAATCAGTTCACAATAGAATACCGTAGTTACGTGGCCCCTCCGTGATCAAAGAACAAAGGACAAGTGTAGTTTTACCATGATATATATCAGTGCAAGTTCTCAAGAAACACTTGAGGATAACAATCACACTTAATGGAAAACAGTAGCTATGTGGAAAGTACAGCTTATGACAGCACAAGTAATGAAATGAATACAGTAATGAGATATGGGGAGGATGTGGACAAGCAGTAGAGACCAGCATAGGACAAGCAAGCGACCACTTACTCAGACCTGAGACTGGTGTGGCCTGCATCTCCATGCGGTCAAGCAGAGGAGTAGTAGGGATGGAAGAAGGCTGACGAGAGGACCAGTTAGATAGTGGCTCTGTTGACAAGAAGACACATCCAACCAGGTTATAAACAGCAAAATCAATGGCATAACCTGGTCTGGGGTTTAACAAGCAACAAAAACATACAACATAAGGTATGGGAAGAACTGCTGCTTCAACTGGTATAAGCCATATTAAGGTACAAAAGAAGAAAAGCATGATGTTTAACCCTTAAATGGCTACCATGATAAGTGGAAGATAGCTGCATGTGTGTCTGCCATCATCAGTGGTTGTTCCATATTCCTTGTGTTCCACTTTTGCTCACTTGGGGAGGGAGGAGAGAGTAGGGAATGCTTAGCCACCAGTTAAGGGTTAAATGCTTGACTACTGCCACACTTACTACCATTGACAATCTATAATAGTTTATTCTACATACCAGCAAAAGGCAATATACTTCTATACTGCACATGCAATACTATAGAAAAATAAAAGTTTCTAGGCCTTGAACAATATACTGTACAGCTGGTCACTAATATGATGATAATTTCTACTGTTGTCCAATAAACACTTGTACAGTACCAGTCAAATGAATGTATCTTAAAGAATCTTCTCTTCCTCAAGCTAAGGGATGTGGCTCATCTCTAAAGAGCAGGACAGCACAAACCTAACCTAACCTAACTTACTTACCTTCATCGCCTCCAAAACAAGACATGTTTACCTAAATGTAATAAATATAACACGGTATTCAATAGACCGGTGAAAAAATGTCTGCCCACCAAAGAGCATGTCTTATCACTTGTTATATCCAACTACATCCTTAATCACTCAAAACACAATGCCAGGCTTCTCACTAAATGCATTGTTAGAAGACCTGAAGATGATGTTAGTGGTTGGACACTTAAGGGAAAATTTAGTAACTATTGTAATCATTAAACAGGACAAACTAGAGCAACTGAAAGATATGAACACTTGAACAAAGATTTGTTTAAGTATTAACTATGGTTAATTCAATAATATTTTTTATGCATCTGAATAAATAAAGAATTTACTCCATGAATAGTTGTAAATACTCTTCAAACCCCAATGTCAACCAAATCTGTCAATTTAGTTGATAATCAGTTCATAATAAAGTCCCTTAATGCCAAACCCTTCGCACAGCTTATCTAGATAATCATCTTACACCAAATCTCACACAGTAGAGATCTCAACTTTTGTTTTTCACATACTGTAAATGGTTGCCAAGGAACCACATTCTGTCCAAGAGATACAGGTACTGCACCACCCTATTAAAATTCATCTATATAGTATGTCTATATGAAGTAATCTGCCCAATAGTAACACCTAAACAAGGATAACTTACACAAATGCTTTGGTGGATAAATTTTATGATGTCACTTCAAACTCTAAAAAGGGCACTTACTTTCTAAACAACTCAAAAAGACTTATTTTACTGATGAGAAGATTCTTCCAAAACCTAAATATTACAATAGTTAAATATTCAGGACCTCAAAATTTACCTGGGAGATTGGTGGGTAGAGATGGCCTCAGGTGACCATTTGACATGGAACTCGTAGTAGTGATAACAGGACTTGCGGCTGCTGGAGGCTTGAGGGGTGGACCACTACCTAATGTTTGATTTTGAACATCAGACTGGCCAGCCACTGATCTCTGTGGTGGACCTGCTGGAGGTCTGGAAGGAGGGCCAGATGGTGGCCCCAGTTGGCCATTCAATAATGCTGGTCTAAAATTGGTTCCTCCTTGTGGCATCCTTGGTTGCCCTGCTGGTGGACCATTCATCAATGGACCATCAAGTCTAGGAGGGCCCACTGGGGGGGGCATATATGGATTAGGTTTTACAATCATTGAGGAAGCTGTCTGAGGGTTTGTATAACCTCCTGGAGGCCTGAGTGGGGGGTTTGAGGGAAACATCTGCTGGCGTGGCTGTCCAGCAGTACCCCCACCATTTATTACAGGTGGTGGCCGTTGCATCCTGAGGAAAGAAGAATAATTTAAATTTAAACTTCAATGTCTGAATACAGTACCTTGATAGCCAACTAAAGATGGAACAACAAATAGACAGTAAAGTAGATCATCTGAAAAATCTGGGAACAAGAGGTTTCTGTAAAATACGATAATTACGTAAAGTGGATACTACTGTACAGTTAAGAAAAGTACATATGTAATATGCCATAATACTGTTGGTTATGTTATAAGTTTCTGCAAATAGTTGTACACTAAATGCATTATTCTTTAACACTCTTAATGTTATAAGTCTACAGATATATCTGCACTGTAAAAGCTTTCAATGTGTCATCATTCTTGTACACTTAACCTGCTCACAAGCAACATCTCAGTTCAACAATTTAGATATTGTGAGGGATAATTTTGACCATTCACAGTATTGTTTATCTCACTGCAAAAACTTCTCTTCCAGTTCACATGTGTGAAAGGTGAGTAACACCATGCAGCCACCTGCTGCCCTTTTGTTGATGAAAGTACTCACTGAACTAGTGGTCAGTGTACACTCATGCCTTGGCTATTTTGTGTGTGTTTTACCCGTATTCTTACAGCAAACATAAGACAGTTTCTAACACCAAACAAACCTTTGAAAAACTAGCCTAAGTTAACTTGTAAAAACCATAAAGCTATAAAAAGATTACCTTTATCGTGTTTTCAGTGTTAAGTAGGTGATGGTGATGTTTTCGGTGTTTAGGTGATGGTGGTGTTTTCGGTGTTTAGTAGGTGATGGTGTTGTTTTCGGTGTTCAGATGAGGATGGATCCATAAACTCAAAAGTGATTCTTAACATTTTTACAAGTCAGGAAACGTTAGGTCAGGTTTTCAAAGGTTTACTTGATGTTATTTTTTAGTATTTACCCCACATTTTCCCTCGATTTCAAAGCCCTGCCCTCACATATTGTTGGCAATTTTATCGGTTAAAATTCTCGAAAAATATAAATTTCCTACAAAAATGTCATAGAAGAAAAGGGTTTTAAAACTTCCTAAACTATAAGATAAAAATATTTAAAAAAGCCAAAAGTTGTGGGGCAATTAAAAACAATATTACCAAATACAATTCCACTCAAAGAAAGGTAAAAATATCAGTGAATTTAATTAGGTTATGAAGCATAAGGTAAGTTAATGCCTCCACAAGCTTCGGCAGATTAAAAAACATCAATGTATGTGTTTAGTAGAAAGACCGAAAATTTCAAGCAATGTTTCTTAGTCCTATTCTGTTAAAATGAAAGATTTGTCTCTGTTTTGGGGGAGAGGCTTAGATGAGGCACAGACATCATCAAAGTACACAGCCTTCTTGCTATTTTGTAAGGGACTTCGGTTATCTCCTTACTCCAGTACTAGTTGAACATTTGAAGTATTAAAACGAACATGCAATAAAGACCTCATCCAAATTTTGAAGTAATATGTTGGCATCATTTACGTGATACACCAGTTAAACCATTACCATTTTTACATTGCCTATCTATATGGGTTTTCTCCTCTCATTCCACCATAACCTTCAGGCAGTGGCTACAGGTGTACTGACACTAATCTTCCTGGGTTTTGGGATACATAAACGGGATTGTCAAATTTGCCATCACTGCGGTTTTATTCTAATTATATATTTCATTTTAGATATAAAAAATTCTTGTTTCCAAACGGTCTTGTGTTTATAAAAGTCACCCGTCATAATAAACGGTTCACTCAGTAAAGGTTCAATGATTGTGAAATGTCAATCTTGAGGTCTCGTTCACTGCTGTCAGTCACCCCGTCCTCACCTCACCACATTTTAACTCCACGCTTTATCAAAATCTCGAGCACAATGTTATATATTTGTTGAGATTAATTGATTCACACATAAGACTTCAGGTAGATCCCGTTTATTGTCTTGGTAAAATACACAACTCGTCCCTTTCTTACTGTTGGTGTTCAACCTCGTATAGGCGACCATAAGGGAGTTTTTCCCTACACTTTTCACTCAAAATCTTACCTTCCTTACTACAGAATTTCCGGGGACGCTATATTGCTGGTAACTATCTCCGTAAAAAGTCCAAATAAACCATGAAGGCGTGGAACTGAGAGTGACCATCACCGAGCCATCGTCAACACAACTCTCAGCTGTGTGGCGGAAGTGACCTCATGACGCTGGTGCGCAGGCGCGGGGAGGGTCGGCCTGCCACACACCACAAATCCTAACTATATACCATTTTACTGCCCCTTATACGGCTCAGAGAACATTCATATACGACTTTTTCGTACAATATATTTCACTAATAATTATTTATATGGTTTTATTAAAGGTGAGTTTATTAAAAGGCCATTAATTACAGTGTAAATTTGATAAATTTCGTCAGCGAACATTTTATATGGTGGACATCGTGGCAGATTACCCGTCATGCTCAGCCTGGCCAGGGAAATTTGCAGCATAACCTCACACTCTTCGTGTAAATTGTGGTCACTGCTCTTTATTAAACACTTTTTGATACACCTTATTTTGCCAACACACTCATAAGTTGCCTCGCTTATAAAAATTATGTTAAAATTCCGAGCAAAATCGCCATATTGTTTCGTAAGCTTAATAATCTAAGGCATCCCCTACAACCTTCTCCCGTGACCCTGACCTATTTAATCCTTTAATCAGATTTTCCGAAATTATTTCGACCAAATGGACTTTAAAGAAAATCCAGAATGAAGCTTTCGAGTAGAGGACGTTATGTACTCGCAAATATGTGAAATGAACAGCTGTACTCTAGCTTATATAAACATTGCACAATTTTGGCAATATTGTCTAAACACATACTACACCTAGCACAACGGGACCTCTACACAGTGACCCCCTCCATCATACCTTAAACACACCTAAAGTCTTAAAGATACGAGATATTAAGTCATGAACAGGCAATTATGCGCTTGAGTGATGATAACAACAATAGTGTCATTCCTTGTACAGTATATTGTATTTCACTCCTAGCAAATTTATTGTGTGCGGATATATGTTTTATATGACTGATGTATCTGTTTCTGGATAATATGGTGATATTCTATGATACTACATCAACTTTACTGTACACTGCATTGGTCATTACTAGGCAGCCCTGTTTACACCTAACCTTTATCACTCATATATCTGTCCAACCTATGTTTGAAGCTTCCCAGGGAGTCCGAGTTAGTGATGTTCGATAAATATATTCTCCTCATCCACAACTACATTGTACTGTATACCCACACTATCTAGGTACAGGGCTTACATACACTAAGTACACTCGTTCCAAAAATACACGCTGAAATAAGTAAACTTGTAATATGATTTTCCTATGTATCTATCAATCTATTTATCTAATCTGGGTAAATGTTTTCGCCATCACCTCAAGCGTGTGGGGGATTGGGTATGGGGGGAACATGTGAAAGGCAACGGAGCTCAAGCAGTGGCAAAATGGCAGACACAAGTATTGTACCATATTACACAAGTGCACCTGTTTCACTCTCCCTTATTCTATATTTTTCTTTATATACGTCTTCCTATTCCTGCCAGTTTATGTTACTCGAAGTTTTTTTTTGTCTGCTTCTCTACATGGTTCGTGCGTTTTAAAAATAGGCTACTAATATCAATTAATTTATCTGCTAGTCTACCTATCCATCCACCTATCTATCTACAGTATCAATTAATCTATCTACAGAAAATGATCACCAATGCACGAATCTAAGGCCCCCATGTACAACCAAACATTAGAGTAATTTACCATGGAGAGGCATCAGAGGCGACTGAACTAACTAATCCAGAACATAAACTAAGGTGGTTAGTTTTAGTTAGGTTAGGTTAGTTTAGGGTAAGGGGGTAAGGTAGGTTAGGGCAGGGTAGGTTAGTTTAGCTTAGGGTAGGGTACGAAATGGTGGGTTAAGTTAGAATAGGTTTGGGTAGGTGTCGTACATAAGGGTGTAGGGTGTGGTGCAGGGTGTGGTAGAGGGTGCAAGGTGTGGTGCAGGGTGTGGTAGAGGGTGCAAGGTGTGGTAGAGGGTGCAAGGTGTGGTGCAGGGTGTAGGGTGTGGTGCAGGGTGTGGTCGACGATGTAAGATGTGGTGCAGGTATTATCAGCAAATGGTCGAGAGAGATAAGCACAGCCACACTCCTGCCATCTCACTTGTTCCTTGGCTAGTGGGGGGCCAAGTACTGTACAGTTACTACCTGAGCACTGCTTCAGCACGCACACACGCAAAGTAGGACAAACGTGAGAACACACATAAGTACCCACATACAATATTTATATGCAAGTAAATCACTGTAGGTGCGCGTATTTATATATGTAGAAATTCACGCCCAATAACACGCACGTCATACACACACACACACATACACACATATACAGTACACTCTCCTTTACTTGGGTAGTGGAAGGTGCGTGAGTACGGCAAAGTGTGTGTGTTTGTGTGTCATCCTGTGTAGGTTTATCGTGTTTACGCAGCGGCCGACTACGCCCCCCCCCTCCTCCTCCCTCACAACAGGGAAGGGAAGCCTCTCACTTCTGTTGTTTGTATGTAGCTACTGTATATGTAACGTTATAAAATATGTAAGTGCAGTTTATACAATAATTTTGTAATTTATTGAAGAGATGATGGAGTTACGAGTAATAATAATAATAATAATAATACGTACACATCTCCACCGAAGAAATCTATGTAAGCAATTGAAAAGATTTAATATAACCTCGATATTCCATGACAAAAGACTTAAATAAACATAAAAACAAAAGCCAAAAAAACCCAACTGGTAAG